TAAAGAAATTGTCATCATATTTACACTTACAGGATGTCCAAGGGAACTCTCATTCTTTAAGGGATGAGGTTCTTCAGGATCTTAAGGGATCTCATTCTTTATTTGCCAACTAGCTCATGTATTTTGTCTTTTTTCATCAGAAAGCAGAAGTGACTATTCTGGAGTTTATCATTGTTCTTGGGTGTGATCTACTGTCAATTTTTATAATTCTGCTTATTCTTTTTGAGAGTAATATAGTTTTGTTCTTGGTGCATGTGCTTTGTGGTAGGGAGTAATTACTTGCTTACTATATGGTTACGAATGGAATTTGAATCTTGGAGAATATTCCATTTCCCTTGTGGAAACAAATCAGGGAGTTTAATTAACCCTGGAGCTTGAGGATAGAGATGAATATAGGCTCAAACTGAATGTTACTGTTCAAGAACTACCAGTGACAGAAAAATCAAGTAATCTTACAGTGTTAGCAGGTGTGATGATCTCATCTTTATTTGCTGGGCTGTGATAGACATAAGTTTTCAATGAAGATTTAGCAGCTCATTTCCAGAATGTCATGGAAAACTGGTTTCTTCGAGAAGGGTCCTTTTAAGAAAAATCAAATATGATGAGCACAATACATATCATGCTATCACTGAATTTCTAAATTTAAAAAGCCATTTCTAGCCTTGAAAGCCATTTTAAAAAAAGGAATGGGAAGCCCTGTAAGGTCAAGTTTCTCATCACGAGAGGCATCTAAGTAGAAGCTGTGTATAACATAATCTAGAAGGATACTGGTTTCTTCATCAGGTGAGTGATTAGACCAAATGACCTTTAAGTGCTCTATTTATGCTAAGATTATTTGATTCCATCAAGTAAATTTGGAACTAAAATAAGTTCAGTTCGGGAACTAAAATAAGGCCCTAGAATGTTTTTGGTGAAATTTCAGGGGTGATTGTTTACCCTGTATTGTCAACAATCAGTGGTTTTTACCTCTAACCCAGTCTTAATTTTTCATACTTAAAAGTTGTGTGTGTGTAGGCTTTGGTCCTGCTAATTCCCTATGTAGGAAGAGCAACATCATCCTAGCAGAATGTTTACTCCTGAAAGATTTACATTAACGCTAGTGGTTCTCAGCTGGGGCAATTTTGTAATTTTTTTTTTCACCCCTCAAGTCCAGTCTGGAAACATTTTTGATTCTTATAGCTAGGGGGTTGCTACTGGCATGTATTGGCCATGGATGCTGTTAAAACATCCTACAGAGCCCAGGAGAGCCTCTAAGGACAACCACTCAGCTCAAAATACAGCAGTGCTGGGTTTGAGAACCCCTGGTCTAAGTTAGGTGACCTTTTGGGCAACCCCCTGCTCTATTCTCCACTATCACATAGCAATCGTGTGTGAGTGTGTGTGTGTGTGTTTTCAGTCATGTCTGAGTCCCTGACCCCATGGATTACAGCCTGCCAGGCTCCCCTGTACATGGAACCCTCCAGGCAAGAATACTGGAGTGGGGTACCACTTCCTACTCTGATAGCAATCATGGAGCTTTGCTTAAAACACTTTTTATCTTCTTTAAAGCACATATACCATTGTCCATTGGGAGTGTCATATATTTAGAAACTTTTAAAGCTCTAGGATGGAGAAGAAAATGGCAACCCACTCCAGTACTCTCGCCTGCGAAATCCCATGGACAGAGATGCCTGGGGGGCTACAGTCCATGGGGTCGCAGATTCAGATGGGACTGAATGACTAAGCACATGCTGGGTATTGTATATCCTAGGGCAAAATTCCTCTCCATTTCTGGACCTGTGAAACTGATCTGCTTCCAAAATATGATGGTAAGACAAAGGATAGACTTTCCCATTCAGAAAGGGAGAAAATGAAAGAAGAAAAGAGCTTACTAGTGTAATGCAAGCTCAAAACCCAGCAGGGCAAGTTCCATGAGGTTTCAAGGACTGAGAATAATCCTTTGAGGCTGGAAGCTCCATTCTCTTGGCCCTGCCCTCAGAGTCATTCTTCCTGAACGTTATCCTTCGTTCACCTCTATCAGCCTGCTTCTTGCACGTGAAATTTCAGAAGTCTTAACAGTCTACCTTTACTGTGTTCCATCTCTGTGCCTTTTAGTTCATGCTGGCAGTGTTTCTGTTGGTATAACATTCTCAGAAACGTTACATGCAATTTGATGCTTAGGAGCGAAGGGTGTCCAGGCCATCATCCTCACTGCATTTTACCACCAGCAGCAAGGAGAAACCGGGCCACATCCTCCACACTTCAGACATCTCCTCAGCTAAATATCTAAGTTCATTGCTTAAAATCTACTCACCACTCAACAGCAAAAGACATTCCAGCCATGCTTTCTGCCCCTTTCTAACCAGATTGCCTTTTGTCCAGTTTCTAACAACATGTTCCTCATTTCCATCTGAGAACATAATTATGAGATGCACTTTAACATTCATATTTTAAGCAACATTCTGTCCATGACAACACAGGTACTCTCTATGATGATAGAAGCTTTCTCTATAATTCATCTTTTTTTTTCTGACCATTTGCCAGAATTGCCTTTTAACCCATATTTCTACCAACAATGCCTTCAAGGCAACCTAGGCTTTTTCTGTCATGTGTCTCAAAGTTCTTCTAGCTTCTATCTTTTTCCCAGTTCCAAAGCCATTTCCACATTAAATTCTTTTTTTTTTTAACTGCACTGTGCAGCATGTGGGGTATTAGTTCCCCACCAGTGATGGAACCCACCCCCCATGCATTAAAAACTCAGAGTCTTCACCACTGGACCACCAGGGACACAGTGTGTGTTAGCCTCTCAGTTGTGTCCGACTCTGCGACCCTACAGACTGTAACCTTCTAGGCTCCTCTGTCCATGGGATTCTCCAGGCAAGAATACTGGAGTGGGTTGCCATGCCCTCCTCCAGGGGATCTTCCCAACAGAGGGACTGAACCCAGGTCTCCTGCATTGCAGGCAGATTCTTTATTGTCTGAGACACCAGGGAAGCCTGGATCACCAAGGAAGTCCTAAATACTTGTTACAGGAGCACTCCACCACCAAAGTCTGTGTTAGTTCCCTAGCATTGCTGTAACAAATTACCATAAACTGATGGCTTAAAACAGGAGAAATTTAAAGTCTCATGGTGCTGGAGACTAGAAGTCCAAAATCAAGGTGTCAGCAGGGCCATGCACCCTCTGAAGGTTCTGGGAAAGAATGTTTCCTTTCCTCTTCTTGGCTTCCCATGGCTCCTGGCATTCTTTGGTGTCCCTTGGCTGGTAGTTGTATCACTCTAATCTCTGCCTCCGTCATCACGTAGCTTCTTTCCTATTTCTCTGTGTCCTTTCTTCTTATGAGGATATCAGTCATTGCATTTCAGTACCATTCAGTCACTCAGTCGTGTACTGACTCTTTGTGACCCCAGGATCTGTAGCACGCCAGGCCTCCCTGTCTATCACCAACTCCCAAAGCTTACCCAAACTCATGTCCATTGAGTTGGTGATGCCATCCAACCATTTCATCCTCTGTTGTCCCCTTCTCCTCCTGCCCTCAGTCTTTCCCAGCATCAGGGTCTTTTCAAATGAGTCAGCTCTTCTCATCTGGTGGCCGAAGTATTGGAGTTTCAGCTTCAATATCAGTCCTTTCAATGAACACCCAGGACTGATCTCCTTTAGGATGGACAGGTTGGATCTCCTTGCATTTAGGACCACTCTAATCCACTATAGCCTCTTTTTAACTAACTATATCTGCAAAGATCCTGATTCCAAAAAGGTCACATTCTGAGGTTTTGGTGGATATAAATTTGGGGAAAGACTTTTCAATCAATACTGGTTCCAAGTAACAGAGTTTGTAAATTGACAGACTAAATTCTGCACCTCTTGAAGTCAGACCTGAATTTTTACCTCCCCAACGTCTAGCACAGGTCATAGAACAATATTTTTAAAATGTTGCCTGAAAAGTGTACCCCTGTGTTCAACAGCTGAAAGGCAGAAACAACCCAGGTGTCCATAGATGAAAGAATGTATGGGTCTGACTCTTCCATGACCACAGAGACTGTAGCCCAGCAGGCTCCTCCCTCCATGGGATTCTCTAGGCAAGAATACTGGAGTGGGTTGCCATTTCCTCCTCCAGGGGATCTCCCAAACCCAGGGATGGAACCCACGTCTCCTGCCTGAGTATTTTACATTGGCCGGTGGATTCTTTACCACTTAAGCCACCTGGGAAGCTTGTTTTATGTACATTCAATGGAATATCACTCAGCCTTAAACGGAAATAGAATGCTTCCACATGCTATAACACGGATATACCTTGAAAGCCTTATGCTAAAGAAAATAAGACACACAAAAGGACAAATGATTCCACTGACGAGGTACTTAGAACAGCCAAATTCATTGAGACAGAAAGTAGAATGGTGGCTACCAGGGGCTGCAGAGAAGGACTGAGGAGTTAATGTTTAACTGGTACAGAGTTTCTGTGTGGGACCCACGAAAAAGTCCTGCAGATGGATAGTGGAAATGTTTGCAGCTTTCTTGGCCTGAAGCCAGCCCCTACCCCGCATCTTTGGGTGCTAAAAGCGTTTATTACTTTTGAAACCTCGAGTGGGTTGTAGGCATGCCTCAGCTTGCTCACGCCAGTCCCCAGCAGAATAAAACGGGGAGTCCAGAAAGTCCACGGAGGTCTTTGAGTGTGTCTGCGGGCATCCGCCTGCGCACCCCGCCCATCCATTCGGCCACCCGCCTACGCTTTCATGATGAAGCTACAGTGCCCGGCCCTCCCGGTGAGAAACCCACACTGGGAGTTACTGCAAGTACGCATCTTGAGCTTCTGAATATTCATGAACGAAGCAGAAAGGCCAGCGCTAAAGGGTAGGGGGGAGGAAAGAGAAATAGTAGTCATAAATATTCATAAAGAGAGCATCCTCAGAGCCGCGGCCCACCAGCCAGGCGTGTGTGTGTGTGTGTGTGTGTGTGTGTGTGTGTGTGTGTGTGTGTGTGTGTGTGTGTGTGGCGGGAGGCTGCCTGGTTTGGGGGCTGGGGGAGGCAGGGGAGCTGCCTGGTGGTGCTGGAGCAGTGGGTCGGTACCTCCTCCCAGGACCGTCATCTGGTCCAGCTCCCTTACACGCCCCAGCATCTTCTGTGCCTCTAAGAACCTGGCCCTCAGCCCGCCCGCGCCCCTCCCTGGGATGCCGAGCCTTTCTCCAGGACCGTGCATTCCTGCAGTGTCAGAACCACTGGCAGCTGCCGCAGACGCCGGCGGAGCGATTGTTTTACCACGAACAGGTCGGGGAAAGGACGAGTGTGATGCTAGTGGGGGTGCACTGCGCTCCTGTGGGCCCAGGGCCTCTGGGGGCTGGGGGAGTATCCGACAGAGCCCCCCGGGGGCCTGTCACCGCCCTCTCTTCTCCTGTCTTGCCCGTCCCTTCCCTCCTCGCCGCGACACCACCTCCTGAACCCCCTTCCACGCCCCGTCCCCCGCGTCCGGGTCTGGTTGGGCCGAAAGGGCCGTGGCCGTGGAGTATGCGTGCGGCCTGCGCGGGTGAGCCCGGCTTCCTCGGAGCGCCCGGCTTTGTGCTGCTTGGAGGGGCCTTTCTTTACCCCGGCAGCCTGGGGGAGGGGATGTGGGATGAGGGTGGATGGAGCAGCAGGAGGGAGAAGGGGGGGAAGCAGAACTACAAAGAGGTTGCTGACTTCTATGCGGTGAAATACTCTCCGTCCGAAGGTGCGGCTTGGCACTGGGTTTTGCTGAGGAGCAGTGGGAAACCGAAGGTGGGTCAGTGGACGGTCAGCTTTGGGGATGGTTTGGAGGGCGGTGGGCATATAGAATCATCTGATCTCTGGGGCAAGTAGTGGGAAGAAGCGGGGATGGAGTGGGGCCTGTGTGGAGATGCAGAGGCCCGGCAGGGGGAGGCATGGTGAATTCTTTGCTGCTCAGCTCGGCAGAGCAGGCACTGGGAAACGGGTACCCGCAGCCTGAGCTGCGGCGACCGTGTATCATTGTGCCGCACGCGAGAGGCTTCTGTGTTTCCTACTGGGTCTCCGTTATGTTCAGTGCGGTCCTTTTCCAAATTACACCGTCTCTTGGAAGCCAAAATAAACGGAATAGGACATAAGCAAACTGTAGTCCTGCACTCTCGTTCTATGATAAAGAGAAAAAGACAAGACCACCCTCCTGTGATTGCTTTTTTTCCCGCTATTCTTCATTTTTATTTTTCCTCAAGTTTATTTTGGAAGTACGGAGAAGGAGGATAAACTCTCAATTGAATTCACCCCAGCTTTAAGGGAAGGAAGCTTCTGAAATGAGCTGTGGTTGAAGACAGGCATGAGCTTGCCAAGATACAAGAGTAGAACATCTCATTTGGGGGCAGAAGCCCCCCACTAAGAGAGAAGCGGAAAAGGAGGAGAGAAGGGGCACCGTTTGCGAAGGACAGCCAGCCCCAATTCAGGGAGCCCTCCTTGAAGCTGAGGTGGACCAGATGCTTGCCTCTCACCTCCTCGGCCACAGCCGGGGCTCTTTCTACAAAATCTGGGCTCAGTTTGGTTGTCAAGAGCTTTCCGTTTTAGCTTCATCCGCAGCTGGTCAATCATGCAGACCTTCTCGCGCTTGGGGAGGGAGTGAGTTGATGAAAAGAAATCAGGCTATATTGTGAGTTTTCCAGTGATCATGTTTCTGAACTCCGGAGTGAGTGGTGATACCCATTTCTTCTTTTATAATCTTCTAGGTGAATCCATTTTCTCTAGAGCCTGTGCTGAGGACAGGTGCTTTCAGAATAACCTTCCTTGTTGCCATCACTCAAAACTCAATCATAGTCTTAGATTCCGATTGGGTTGCCCTCTTGTTACCAGTTGATGGGATAGATTCTGTTGTTTGCAGTCAACATCCTCCTTGGTATACCTTCTCATGCCAGCTCCCTTGTCCCCTCCAGAAAGAGTACAGATTTAAAGGAAGTGTGAATATTTGGAATACCAGCTAGGTAGCTTTCATGTCTTGCTGAAATGGAACCAGTGATCTGAGAGGCTTTGACCACATGAATTGAAAATAGCAGGAGTGCCTTAGTAAAAAGCATGATAACATTCATTCAGCAATAGTTCTCTCTTTTGATAAGCATTCTGAAGCATCACACCGGAAATATTTTGGCAAGGATAGCTTTTCTTTTACTTGAAGCACTGTCACCTCACATTTTCATGTAACTATCTTTGCTTTCCTAATATTATTGACATTTTGGGACACTTCATGTATTCCATACATTGTGCTTAACACTTCAAAGATTGTCTCATTTACTGCACAAAGCAACCTCCAAAATAAGTACTATTTTAAACCCTGTTTTATAGATGAGGAAATAAAGTCAAAGAGGTTTATAATTTGCCCAGAGTCTCAAAGTTGGGAAGTGATAGGACCAGGATGGAAACCTGGGGTCCAGGTGCTTAATCATCAGAGTCCTTCCTCTCTCAACACAAATTCCTCATCTGTAAACCTTTCCTTAATTTCTGTCACACTGAGTGATCTTTTCTAAACTCACTCTTTTGGCACTCAGGGATTCCTAATCTTTTTTGTGTGATGAGCCACTTTAGCAATTTAGAGGAACCCTTTGGGATCTTTCTCTGAATATGATTTTATCTCTTTTTTTTTTTTGGCCACATTGAGCAGCATGTGGAACCTTAGTGCCTCAACCAGGGATCAAACCTGTGCCCCCAGTAGTGGAAACTCACAGTCTTCACCACTGGACCACCAGAGAATTCCCTGAAATATGCTTTTAAATGCAAAAAATGAAATATGGTGTATTCAAAAATCCCTCAGGAGTCTGTTGACCATCGGTGAGGCGCCTCTAACTGGCAATTAGTTGTGTATTGCTTAATAGCTGGGGTGTCCAATATGGTAGCCACTAGCCATACGTGGCTGTTGGACACTTGAAATTTGACTGGTCCAAATGGAGACATAATGTGAATGTAAAAAAAACACTATATTTTGAAGACAGTATGAAAAAAGAGTGTCAAATGTTTCATTAATATTTAAACATTTGGAATAGATATTGAAATGGTAAAATTTTAGATATATTAAACTATATTATTAAAATATACAGTTAAATTATTAATTATGTTAATATGTTATTAAAAGTGACTTCCAAAAGTATTAGCTCTATACCAACATTTTTTTTAACACTTTCTTTTTAACAGTTGAGGAAGTCAAGACCCACAGTACTTCTCACTCACTCAGGCATTGGCAGGTCTGTTGACTCTTGACGCTGTGTTCTTTCTAAGCTGTCATGCTGCTGCTGTATCTTTTTGTATTTTGAGGTCTTATTACATTGCCTTTGCAAACTATAAATACTCAGAATGGGTTTTGATGAGATGTGGTGGTAACTGACTCAATCTCAGTAAAATCCCAGGAAGAACTGTCTAAGTCCTTACCTGGCATGCCATCTGCCTTGCTTATGTAGATTTTAGTTTTAAAGGTAGGCGTGGAGGATGGTTTTTGCTCTGTTTGCTTCTCATTGAGTAGTGGTTCCAATTTAAGCATCTGACTGGATCAGTCATCACACAGATAAGAGATAGAAGTTGGTTGCCTTGCTGTGTTCCAGGGAAGGAAACGGAGTAGGTAGAGAAGGGCGTGATAGACAATAAGCTTGTGCTGGCTGCCTGCAGTGGAAAATGAAAACTATGTGAGGGGGACGGAAGATCATTTGTCAGTGAGCACACATTGATTGATTGCCTCGCCGCAGGCCGTGTGTGCTAGAAACCGTGGAGGGTATCCAGAGGATGTCCGTGTCCTCGAGGAATTTAAATTAAAATTGGGGAAGGGCTTGGTTATATACATACAGATGGATAAATCACAGCTGAAGGCCCGGAGCTATTGGGAAATGAAAGGAGGCCTGAATGTACAGCTTTCTGGGGTGCAGTGCCCCAGGCGGCTGTGGAGTCTGGCTTTGGAGGACACGGGTAGATGGGTCTGTCTCTTACAGGTCACTAATCCACTCTTCTAGTTCCAGACATAAGCTGTGTGTCTGGAAAACACTCAGGTGCTTGTATGAAAGTCTGTATTAGTGCTCTATTAGTCCACCATTTATTGATGAGAGTAGTAATATCCAGGTCCATGAGCCCTGTCCAAAACCCTTGGGGCCAGGCATGTTTCAGAGTTTAGATGATCTCAGGTTTTGGAACGCAGTAATAGAGTGCATATTCTGCATATCATCCCCTGGGGGCTGGGGCAGCCATCTCTATAATTTAAAAAATAATTAAAATTTCTGCAGCAAAACACACTAAATGGGATACATTAAAACCATAAACAGCTCTATAAGCATGTAGATCAGGTTTAGTTGCCAAATGAGTTTAGGTCATGGCAGATTTTGCCACCGAATAAGTCATGGAAAACTTCCAGGTTATTTGTTTTGGCTCTGCTGTACCACATGTGGGATTTTAGTTCCCTGAGCAGGAATCAAACCCATTCCCCCTGCGTTGGAAGTGTGGGGTCCCAACTACTGGGCCACCAGGGAAGTTCCTTTTCAATATTTATTAAAATTTTAAAAAATTGTTTATTTGGCTGTGTCGGGTCTTAGTTTCAGCATGCAGGATCTTTAGTTGCAGCACGCAGACTCTTAGTTTCAGCTTGTGGAATCTAGTCTTAGCCACTGGACCAGCAGGAAAGTTCCACAAAGCTCCCAGTTTTGAGATGTAGACTTTTGTTAATCATCACCATCATAATACAAAGAACATAAATTGAACAACATCAACATTTATTATCTCCCAGGCACTGTTCTAGGCACTTACCTGTATTTACTCCTTTAACCTTTAGGACAGCCCTTTGAGGTAGGTCCTGCTGTTATTTCTGTCTTAAGGAGAATAAAAGAGGAGCACAGAGAAGTTAAACTACTGCTACAATCACAGCTGGGCAGGAGCTAAGGAGTGGAGCAGACGCACACCTAGGCAGTCTGGTCTAGGGGGGCTGCATCCCTAACCTTTATTAAGGTTGGGCTTTGTTTTCGGGGGCAGGGAATGGGAAGCAGGTGTGTCTCCAAAATGCATGCTTATTAAGTTAGCATTATTCACACTGATAATGACATTCGAACTCCTTAAGGGTATAATAGTGAGGAAGCACAGACAATGGAGCCAGTAAAGCAGGATGTTTGTTTTTAGGGGCTGAGAGTAATGAGCAATTATGTAATAAGTGATTGTGGCTCCTCAACAGAGCTGGCATAAAAGCCCAGTCTAAACTCACATTACTGTGTCTATTTCTTCCAGATATACGAATCCTGATCATTGCAGTTTTCTGATTGCTGTGCAAGGATGGAGGCCCCACTGGTGAGTTTGGATGAAGAATTTGAGGACCTTCGGCCCTGCTGCTCTGAAGACCCCGAGGAGAAGCCCCGGTGTTTCTACGGCTCATCTCCCCACCATCTCGAGGACCCCTCCCTATCTGAGCTGGAGAATTTTTCTTCTGAAATCATCAGCTTCAAGTCCATGGAGGACCTGGTGAATGAATTTGATGAGAAGCTCAATGTCTGCTTTCGGAACTACAACGCCAAGACCGAGAACCTAGCTCCGGTGAAGAACCAGTTCCAGATTCAAGAGGAGGAGGAGACCCTGCAGGATGAGGAGTAAGGCGTCTCAGTTGTGCTCTGTTGTCTCAGATTAGAGCCCTGGGGTCTGGGACTCCTTGACATAGAGCGAGTTTCTGTCCTTGGGTTTATGTCGTATTACTTGTATTTTTGTATCACTGAGACTGCTCCCTGGTAACTGCTGACCTTGTTCCATTATGTCCCTTTACCTGTAGAGTTTTCTTTTCTTTTTTTTTTTTTAGAGTTTTCTTAAGTTGAAACCACAAAGGAATAAAGTATTTTTAGGAAAGAGATTTCCCTAGATACAAAATCAAAATTCAGGAGCAAGGGAAATTTGGGGGTCTGTCTATTTTCAGCTTTCTTTATATCGTAATAATCCTTCCAGATATTAGAGATAAGGGCAAGAAAAAAAATGAACTAAGAGGAACTATGTTGTTGAAACAATTTGCTTTACAAAACACCAGAACTGTGAAAATCTCCAAGTTGTTTACACCCCCTCAGGACGGGAAAGATTATCTGCAGAAGTTAAGACAGGTCCAAATAAGAAAGCATGAACATTGAACCAAGAGATTGGGGGATTACCCTGGACAAAATAAAGATGATAAGCAGGTGAAGTGGCTTTTGAGTATTCCCTGTGTCACTTAATAGTCACCTTCCAGGGTCTTAACAGAAGTCAGGAACAGAGATTTGAGAAAAGTGCTGTTCAAGGAGGGACTAGAAAGAGAAGAGGGTGTTTGTTGTATGAATTAAAGAAGATGTTTGGGTATTTAGTAAAAACAGGCATAAATTCCCCATAGGGATAAAATATGCATCAACTGTTCTTTAGGGATCACACAGGAAATGTCGAGTAGTTGGTAGTGGAAGTTTAGAGCAACTGCACTTTTGGTTTCTCTTTAAGTACTTGGGTGGGAAAAGTTGCTCCTAAGTAAGTGGGGGAAGAAGACCCCTTCTACAGCAGGGGTCCCCAGCCTACAGGCTGTTTACTGGTACCTCTTGTCAGATCAGCGGTGGCATTAGATTAGAAATAAAGTACACAGTAAATGAAATGCGTTTGTCATCCCCAAACCATCTTTCCTACTCTCGGTCTGTGGAAAAATTGTCTTGTACAAAATTGGTCCCTGGTGCCGAAAAGACTGGGAATCTCTGCACTACAAGATTGAACCTGATTATATTTGTCAGATAGTTGCTTATTTGAAAACTACTGAGACTGTATCTCTGTGAATCTTAGGGCTGTCTGTCTGTCTTACTCGTTATTCTGTCTCCAGTATCTGACATAGTGCATGGTATGTAGTAAGTGATCAAATCATGTTTTTTGAATGAATATTGAATGACCTGGATGAGCAATAATAGCTAGCCTCATAGGTACATGTAATGCATTTCCTCCTTTTCTTTTTAATTAATGCTAGCCTGAAGGTACGATCACAGAGGACATTTCACTCTGGTGACCAATACTGTGACTGTGGGCTATGTGTTTCAATTCAATTTTAAGTTTCAAACTGATTTTTTAGATTCTGAGCCTGTTACAATTTGCTCAACTCCTTGAGATCAAAGAGGAAGGGTTCTGAGGTTTTATTATAATGCAGAGTTTCTTTGACCATAGTTCACTGCAGCATGCAATGGACTAGAAACACTATGAATTGTCATTTCTGCACTCTCACTAACTCACTGTATGACCTCGGTCTCATCGCTTGACTCTAGTTGACTGTGAGGGTGCTCATCTTTGGAACATTTGGAGCTCAGTTTTGATGAGGCGGGGCTAAGGACTGGCTAAGAACCTCATTTCTCACCTTACCCAGGCTTTGCTCTGAAAATTCCTTTTGCTTCCAACAGATCATGTCCCCTTGTCGAAAACCACCCTCTGCCTCATTAAGGACAGAGGTTCAACAACCACATTCTTACCCTTTTCTAGCACATTAGCAGAGGCCACTCAATGTTAATTACCATCACATGGGATTATTGGTCTTATCCTGCCTGCCTCATTGACTGCTCAGCTAAATGACTGAAAGCTGAATAATTCTTTAGAGGTAAAATATGATGTGGGGATAGTGTGGTGGGAAGAATCTGGGGAGAGAAATCGTAATACTGTGCTTTCTGGTCATTCACTGTGTTTCATACATATCTAAAGCTTTACTGCTTAAAAATTTGAATCAAACTACACAGTTTGTTTTATAGATACCCATCCAGCTACTTCAACTGTAATATTATGGTGGGGTAAAAGAAAAAGATAATTTAATATCTATCTATTAATCTATCTGATTAATAGTCTCCTGAACCCAGCTCTCTTGTTCTAATAAACTTGCTAGGATTTGGTAGTTAGAGGTTTCATCCACCAATGAATTGCAAGTGTTTTGGATGGGTTAGAACTACATAATGGAAGCTTCAAACAAAAACAATGAAATTCTTGGCCAAAGTAATCTCCTGAAAGATAGCACAAATCAGAAAGCAAGGGGAGTGATTCCCTTTGAAGTTTTGATTTTTTTTCTTTTCTTGTTCTTGGCCCTGCCATGTGGCAGGTGGGATTTTATTTCCTAGACTAAGAATCAAAACTGCACCCCCTACATTAGATGCACAGGGCCTTAACCACCGGATGGGCAGGGAAATCCCAAAGTTTTCATTTATAACTATTTGGCTCAAAGAGAATTGGCTGAGATATCAACTTATCTCTGCCTTGTCAGGGCATGGAAGTCATTAAAAGAGAGTCAATATGTATGAAAATATATTTTCAGTTTTTTAAATTTAGAAAATATTCCAGAATCTCTTCTCTGCATATGTAGACTCATCCTTTCCTTGTCATAAGAGATCCAACCTGGAGGCCTACTGAGTGGGAATGGTCAGCCTTCACCCCATTTCCTACCTTTCTGGGTTTTCCTGTCTGTCCTCTTACAAGGACCCTGGTGACAGAGAGGTGAAATATATGAGAACACTGAGTTTCCTGTTCTTCCGATAGAAGTACTGGGTTAAAGGTCATGTTAAAAATCAAGTTCCCATGATAAATAAACAGATTGTAGTCAGCCATGCTTTAAGTTGAAGACAAGTAAATCCTAAATAATCAGGCAGGGAAAGTAGACAGGTAGTTGTAGTTTTTAGGAAAGTTAATTCTCTTCTCAGAGGTTCAGTTTCCCTATATGGAAGGCAGACATAGTGTGGATTCTATTGAAGTATTTGAAAGAATCTAAAAAGTTGTTCAAAGTCATTGGTGTGTTAATAATTCATAATTCCTAAGCGCTAACAGTAAAAGTATACTCATGTTAACACACATCTAAGTGTGNGGGGTCGCAAAGAGTTGGACACGACTGAGTGACCTTCACTGTCACTTTCACTTGTCCAGTGAATTCTGTTCAGTTTGCTCATCCTCTGCTAGCATCTTTTTCCAAATCCCTAGCCCTCCAGAGTAAGAGACAGTTTGTCATTTCTACAGGTATATGTGTACTCAGTCATTAAGTTGTGTCCTACTCTTTGCCTCCCCATGGACTGTAGCCCTCCAGGCTTCTCTGTCCATGGGATTTCCCAGGCAAGAGTACTGGAGCAGATTACCATTTCCTTCTCCAGGGAATCTTCCCTACCCAGAGATCGAACCCAAGTCTCCTGCAACCATATAAGCCCAAGGTATAAACTATGCACTTGAAAAGGCATTTCTATTATTATAGAGATGGAGGAAAGGTGGCGCTAGTGGTAAAGAACCTGCCTGCCAATTCAGGAGACATAAGAGAGTCGAGTTCAATCCCTGGGTCGGGAAGATCCCCTGTAGTAGGAAATGGCAATCCACTGCCGTATTCTTGTCTGGAGAATTCCAGAGACACGGGAGCCTGATGGGCTGCAGTCCATGGGTTGCAAAGAGTCGGACACAACTGAAGCAACTGAGCATGTACGAGGGAGCAAACTGGATTTCAGGTGTCATGACAGCATAATAACAAGAATTGAGGGAACTTGTTTAATCTTCATTTTTTTGATGAAAGATAATAGTGGATAGCTTTCAAAGTCTCCTTTCCCAAAGATAAGAGTAAATAGGAGGATGCTTCTCAGGAAGTGGAATTTTACAGTCCACCCAGGGTACTTCTGACAGGGAATACATCTCTTCCCAAGAATCCTGCTTAGGATAGGAGGCACAACCTCTCTGGGGACGAAAGTCTAACCCATTCTCTCCCCCCAGAAAGCTTTGTGTTTTCCCCTCCCAGGCCTCTCTTCGTTCCCGGGACTGCATGCCTGCCAGTGAGCCTGCCTTTGCCTTCCATTTACCCTTCCCCGGGCTGGAGATCTAAACAGAAAGCAGGCATGTACGCCTGCTGACCTTGCCATTTCTGCTCTCATAGACTGATGAAAGCACCATGTCCAGAATAATGTAGTTATAGACCTTTCACATAGAGGCGGCTGCTGCCCTGCTGTTCTCGGTTGTGATTTTTAACTTGGCGTATGTTCTGATGCTCACGAGAATCATACAATTTATAAAGAATAGTCAAGTGGGTTAGAAATATAGGCTGTATAACTGTATTGCCTGGGTTCATATCCTACCCCTGTTATTACTGGGTGAATTTAGATTGGTTAATTAACTTCTGTGTGTTTCAGAGTTTTTTTTCCTCCACATCTGCTTTACAGTGTTGCTGTGAGGAATGAGTGAATTGACCCACTTAGAGAGTTTAGGATAGTACCTGGCTTGTGTTTAGTAATTGCTCAGTAAGGTTGGCTGCTATGGTTATTACTGTTAAACGGGCACTGAATGAATATGGGAAGGGGTGCAAATGATGACAAAGAGATGAACCATTCTATTAAAGATTGCTTATGAACCTCAAAGGATAAAAAATATGTCTGTGAGAAAGGAAGGAGAAAACTTGAAAGAGAACAAGGATGGCTTGAAATCCCAAGGAGATAAAGGTTTAGGGAATTGTCACTAAAAATCTAGAACTAGAAGGTGAAATCCAGGGTCTGTCAGTGAAGGCTCAGGCGAGAAAAGTTGCTGCCCTAAATGATTTTAGAGCATCTTCATGTGTCACTTTAAAGATGTAAACAGGTTCAAGGTCATTGGGAAGTGTGTAGTCCCCTGTTCAA